GGATAAGCTCAAGACCCCTACACTTCCCAGCTTTCTCAAGCTCGATAATGTTAGCACAATTTGGATCCATGTCTTCCAGTAGCACACTGCACTGCGCTATCCCCATATGTCGCACTAGACTAACCAGCTTAAGTGCTAAGAGAACCTCCAGGGAACTACTAAAATGTTCATATGCATCAATACTTACATGTTTCAGCCCCAGGCCACAAACTTGCTCACCCCATAATGCAACTATTAAAATATAAGTAAAAGGAAAACTACCATCTGTAAACATAATCTCGTCGGCGCCATAGGGTAGAGGAATATCATGTATAGCAGGATCATACGGAAGAGTTGAAAAGGTGAGTTGAAAATTCAGCTTTATCACACTGAGTTCAGTCATAACCTGCCCTACAATCACACACTTGTTCAAGAGGATAACATAAACTATTGCATCACTTAAGCCATGATGTAATCTATGGTGTGTAGCCAACTCTACCATTTCAATGACACCACACAATGTGTAACCAACAGGGTGCACAGTTTGAAGCTTCACCTTATATCTACTCCTCAATTATAATACTTTTCATTCCTGTAACATGGCATCAAGTGCAGTTGTTGCAGGCTGCATTTGACTATAAAAGTTTGCAGCGAGAAGACGAGCAGTTATTTTAGACCCATACCCACCAATTACGACAAGCCCATCGAAGTTGAGTTTCTTCGCTATTTCAACATAATGCGCAACATGTGATAGGAACTCCAATTGTAAGGCTAAGAAAGGTGGTTTTGGAAGTGGACATGTCGGTCGAGGTTGAATAGTCTGTATCTTCATTTTTCTTCTGGACATTTCATTAAATAGCTTTCCCCCTTCCATAGTACCATCAAGGCCAAACACACCAGAATACAGTGCAATAGGCATCCAGTGCAATGTATCTAAATGCATATTCAAGTACTCGAACTTAATGGAAAGAGGAACAGACCCACCAGGATCAAATGGACAGTGTATGAATATATGCTTGTGCATCAATCGGGTTCCATCCAAAATCAAGGTGTCTCTTTGTTCGTTGACCACTTCATTGTCAATCAATGACTGCCCTTCTTTTTTAGAACAAATATCAAACAGCTTACGCACCTTGTTTACCAAAACATTAGCGCTTGCATCTATGAGCTGCAGTTGCTTGCTTATGGAAAAAGAAGCAATCACTGTATTTTGAGTGGATTTGATAAATTTAGGTTGGCATTGCTGGCCCGCTTCATCTCTTTGGAGATTTGCTTCCCCAACTGCAATAACAGGAGGCTGGGAATCCTCATCGTTGTCATCCAAATCGGAATTGTCCTTCTTCTCTTTTGCTTGAGTTAGCAAAACTTTAGTGCCTTCATCAATTGTGACTTGTACTGCTGCATCTTCATTCTCAACTTCTGGTTAGTAGCATCAGCTGTTGGTATCGCTGTTTTATGATCTACAACACTACTTTCGCTATCCGACTATTTTTCAAACACCTTGTGCGCAGAGTTCAGGTTGTTGCAGTTTGAGTGTGGATTCCAGAATTGAGGCGAGGGCGATTTGTCCATGGCACTCCATGGTGGAATAGTTGCAGCTCGTGTTGGACAATAGTCCACTGTGGTAAGCTTCTGGAGAAAGGCTAAACGACTGTCAGGTGCTTCACGACTCCGAGTTCGATAATGGATAAACAATTTTTCCACGAAATGATCCCAATCCGCGAGCTGTTTGTTTCGATATAACCAGCAATACCAATCCAAAGCCTCTCCATCCAAATATAAAGAGGCGAATGACAATTTATGACCTGGAACAATATTATATCGTGTGAAATACTGCTCTACCTGAAATACCCACGCCGCAGGATCATCACCGCTGAATCTGGGTATTTTCACCGACAGAGCTTCCATTGACGAACGCAATCCGATACGATACTGATAAGCGGTCGGAGCCATTTTCCCCACCACATCTTGTAACATACTCCGAATCTCAGCGACATCCTCTAAAAAGGAATTCGTCACTTCCTTCACAGATGCATCAATGAGAGCCTTGAGTTTGAGTTTTTGGTCCTCCATTGAAGACCTCTGGATGAAAGCACTAATGTAACAAATCACTTATTCAAACACTTCTATTACTTCAATAGTGATCGGAAATTACAAGATACTAAACTGAAATACAAAGAAAGGAGAAAAGGGATGAGAAGCCCAGACGAGAGGATACAGACAAGGGAGAAGGAAGATGAGGAGGAGCAGACATTTCATTAAAAAATAGGCATGCCCTGCATTTCCCCCTAGATCCCAAATATAACCCTCCGATAATCTATTCGGGTGTTTAATCCTTGGGCTTTCTCTTAAATTAGGTCATGGCCCAATAGTCCTAAATGGATCAGTCTTGTTCAACAAATTTGGGCCAGAAGTCCTTACTGCATTAGCCTTGTTCACAACAGTATATAGATAAAATATTATGTTTTAGAGGTATATAACACATATTGAGCATCCTTTGTCGGGATTTTTTCCCACTTCTTTCAAATTTGAATACCCTTGGGCAAATTTCTATTTCGTCACTTGATCATGCCCAACTCTAATCCTAAAAAGGATAAGCGGTCGCTGCAAATATAATCCGGTCTAAAAGTCCGGAGTCGAATCCCACAGAGAACTAAGGCTTAGCTATATCTTTTTAATATCACTAAGAAGACAAGTTTGAACAATTTTCTAAATTATAAAGATTGAGAATTATATTTCTAACTAATTAACTAGCAAATACTACAAAGCGGTAAAATTATCAACTAACGAGACAAAGGGCTGGAGACTAAATTAAGGAGATCTAGAGTTATGATTTTCCCAATTGTCGGAATCCTTATAGTTATGTTCCCTACAATTTCGCCGATATATTCTCTACTGATCGTGAGCTCTTTAGGTGTCGTAATTCTCTCTCGAGCAACTACAACAATTTACTAGACATATTCTCTCGAATTATGCTAGTTGGCTTCATCTAACCGCTCACTATGATCACGTCAAGGCTTTGTTATTTCTAAACCTACCTTTAAACCCAATGTATTGATTTCTCACATACGTTAGGAGTGACGTTGTTCAACAACTACCTAAATATGTACTCTCTCTCGAGCAGTACACACTAAATAGGCACATTTAATTGATGGTCATTCAATCAACAACAACAAACACGTAGTTGAGGTCATTCAATCAACAACAACAAACACGTAGTTGAACAAGTAGAGAGATCCAACGGCATAATTATATAAAAATATAACAAGAATTCATCCTACAAAAGGTTATATCAAAACTCTAGATAACAAATTAACTATTCATAATAGTATGTAAAACTACAGTACTAAAAGTCATAACCAACAATAAAAGATAGGAAGAGGAAGGAAAAACTCATAGAAGAATTCTCCGCCTTGCTCTTATTGTGTTCTTGCCTCCTTAGGTCGAATCTCCGATCTCCTTAGCCTCCTTAGGTCTAAATTATGTCAAAAGTGTGTCCCACCTCCTAAAATACCATTTTTCCATATATATACCAAGTAGGGTCGGACCCAAATAATTATACCTTCTCTTACGCGAAAAAGGACAATTTTTTCAGGTTTGGACGGCCGCGGTAGCGGTCAACCGCGTACGGGCGCGGTACTTTCATAGTGTACTGCCTCAGCCCGCCTCAGGTCCGCGGTTGCAGTTTCGACCGTATTTTTAACCCTGTTCTGTTTTGAATTTGGAAAAACGTAAAACACGAAAGTTGTATCCCTTTGAGTTAGATTTCCAACCATATATTGTGGAGCCCAAATGGAGTTCTTAGCAAAACGTTATGTGCATTTTACTAGACAGTGCGCAATATACCTACTCGATTCTTCGTTTTGTTGCTCTATCATATGTTGATCCCCGAATACGATCCCGACTTAATTTCTTGGGCTTTTACTCAGACTTCAAAGCTCCAAATCACTTGAATTCATTCCATAACATCTACATAGCTCGAAATCACTCCTACAAGGCATAAAACACACAATTAGTGCAAAACACTAACGATTAAAACGCAAACTCAACTAAAGTGCAGTAAATTTTGAGTGTAATAAGCGAATAAAATACGTAATTATAGCCTATCATCATCACTGCTTAACTCAAGGTTCCAAGATCAATTTGTTTGAATTGTTGATTAAATTTACATGTAGATTTTTCAAATCTTTGGAAAAAAAATATGTCTAACAATTAACAAAGAGGAGTATTATAAGTTGCTACAATTTAAAATATATTTGTCAAAGTAAGTTGAATTAATTTGTGAAAATTTGCAATCAAGAATGAGAAATTCGATACGGAGGTTCGATATTCATTAATACTCGATCATAAAACAAATAAAAATATTATTAGAGATGATTTATAATCGGTTAAAAATGGAATCTTTACAAAAATAACTAGAGATCCAATTTCTTTGGTTTCAATTTTTTTGGGATAATATTGTAAGGAATTGAAAATAAAGTTGTTTAATTTTTTTTGATAATTAAATCATTATATTAACCACCAAAGTAAATATTTACAAAGCAGTAGGTCACCTCAACCTAACTTTCTTACTGAAAAAAAAACGACTATCTCTATATCATCCTACCTTCTACTCTCCTTTGTATAGTCCTCTTTCGAGTTAACTACTCAGTATTTATACTTTGTTAAAAGAACACGAGTATAACCCTCAGCTCTAATGTTGCACATGCATACCACTCTCTTTGCAAGAACATCTCACGATGTTGCTTTCTTCTCAAATATCCTTGCATTTCTTTCGATCCACAATGTATATGTATATTCTGCAAATACTAATTTGAGAATTCTGGCCATTTGAGATCGCCCCTTTGTTTTCTGTATAATCCAGTTCTACCATTCTGCCAATGGTTTTGTAAATGGTTGATGCACTTGTAGCCATTTCATGAGTCTGCACCATATATTTCTACCATATGTACCTTCCTCATATGATCCCTTGTTTCTAGTGCTTGTTTGCAAAAGCAGCGTGTATTATCCACTTGTATTCTTCAGTTCTTCAATCTGTCAGCAGTGAGTAATCTTCCATGCAGTTGTACCCACATTATGAAAGTTGCTTTTGGTCGCTCTTGATTCTGATACATTAATCCTTTCCATGTGACTTTGGGAAGCTCTCCTAACAATTTTAGGTAAACTTGCTTGATTATTGTCCCTTGATTACCATGGCTGCTGCTGATGCTATCCATATTACCTTTTGTTCCAAATAATTTCCTTATCATCCAAGATGCCTGCTTTGATGCTTCCATGTTGGCAAAGATTTGATCCTTGATGTAGTCGCTATGGATCCATTTGATCCACAACTTATCTTTCTTGTTTGTCAATTCCCAGCATGCTTTTGTGATTGCTGACTTGTTCCATAGTGCCAAATTGATCAAGTTGAGTCCCCTGTTGCTCTAGGTGCACACATCTTATCCCATGACACTAAAGCCTTTTTAGTGATTGTATTCTCCCCTGACCACACATAGCTTCTGCAGTAGGCCTCTTTTGTTTTAACAACTTTAGCTGGGATGATGAATATTTGTGCCCAATAAGCTTGAATGCCAAAAAGTACATGCTACACCAATTGGATTCTACCTGCATATGATAGCTTATTTGTTGTCCAAGATGATATTCTAGCCACTATTTTATCAATAAGTGGCTCCCATTGCATTACTGAGAGCTTCTTTGTGTCAAGAGTTATGCCTAGATATCTGAAAGGGGGGGAACCTTGACTATATCCAAGATTTTGTTGTATCTCTTGCTGCACCTCCAGGCTGACTCCTCCATAGTAAATAGAGCTTTTGGCTAGGTTAGCTTTAAGCCCAGATGTTACTGAGAAGGTATGAAATCTGACATGCATCAGTTCAACAGATGTAGCATCTCCTCTTACAAAAAGTAAGAGATCATCCACAAAACTTAAGTGAGTTATATCCAGCCTTGAACACATAGGATGATAATGGAATATTTTTTCCTGCTTCAAAGTCTTCAAGTTTCTGCTTAAGTACTCCATTGCAATAGCAAACAAAAAAGGGGACATTGGGTCCCCTTGTCTCAGTCCTCTAGCTGCATCAAATGGTTTAGTTGTTTCTCCATTGATGGGTATAGTATAGTTGACTGTTGTCACATATTCTATAAAATCCACTTAGTGAATTTGTTTGGGAAGCCCAATCCTTCTAGCATTTGATAAAGATATCTCCAATCCACTGTGTCATAGGCCTTTTGAATATCCACTTTGATGAGGCATCTTGGTGAAATGTTCTTCCTTGAATAAGCCTTGACCAATTCATGAGCAAGCAATACATTGTCAGCCACCTTTCTACCTGGGATGAATCCTGCCTGTGTATCTGAGATAACTGAAGCAATGACTTTCTGAATTCTGTTGGCTAATACCTTGGAAATGAGTTTAAATAATACTGTACAACAGGCTATTGGCCTGTATTCTTTGATGCTTGAAGGATTAGGAACTTTAGGAAGTATTGTGATAGCTTTGAAGTTGATTGCTCTGTATAAATTCCCTGTTTGAAAGAACTCCTTGATTGCTTGGCATATTTCTGAGCTTAGAAAGGGCCAAGCTGTTTTGAAGAACGAAGCATTATATCCATCTACCCCTGATGCTTTATCATCTCCAATAGCACACAGTCCTTCATATATTTCTTGATCTGTAACTTCAGCACATAGACTAGTCTTCTGCATATGATTGAGTACTGGTCTATTCTTCATCACCTACAGGTAATTGGTTTGCAGCTGATCCCATCAGGGAATTGTAAAAAGTAATGATCTCTGCTTGGATCTGTTGTTGGTCTGTTATTCTATCTCCAAAACCATTGACTAGTTATGTGATGACTTTTCTTTGTCTTCTTTCCTTCATAATTGCTGAAAATTACTTGGAATTTGCATCTCCTAATCTTATCCATTTTGCTCGAGCTTTCTGTTGAAGGATGCTTTCTTCCATTAATGACCATATTTCCAACTTCTCTAAGAGTTTTTTCTCTCCAATATACAGTTCATCTAAGTAACAAGTTGACATTTGATCTTGTATCCCCTGCAACAAGTTCCTTGTTTGTTCCAATCTTTCTTTGATACCCTGAACTCTGTGTTGTTTAGTTGCTTCAGTAAAGGTCTTAGTGCCTTCAGCTTGTGCCAAACATTCTTCATAGGATCTGAATTGTATTGTTCTTTCCATACTTCTTCTACTAGTGTCATGAAGTTTGGATGATCAACCCATACATTGAAGAATCTAAATGGAATTTTACCACTTGGTTCTGTTCTCCTCATTGTCATTGGAGCATGATCTGATATGAATAGGAGTCTGTATTCTACTTCCATGTGCCCGTAAGTCTGCATCCAATCATCATTTACTATAACTCTATCAATCTTGCTATAGACTCAATCAGCCCCTTGTTGCTTGTTTAACCAATGTAGAAATCCCCCTTCCAAGGCAACTCATTCAAGTTTAACACGTGCATACAATCTGAGAAATCTTGCACTTCATTCCTTGTAACTGGATTACCATAAATCCTATCTTGTATTGTTAAGACTGAGTTGTATTCTCCCCAGATGATCCATGGTATAGTGTTTTATGGTGCTAAGTCCTTCAGTTGTTGCCATAATGGTTTCCTTTTTTCATTGGTGTTGAATCCATAGACTACTGTCATGAAACAATTCATTGGATTCTTTCTGCCGGCAACTATACAATGCATTATTTGAGCAGATTGATCTAGCACTGTTATATCATAAAATCTAGGATCCCACAGCATCCAAACCCTCACATTAAGTGCATGATCATAATTATATCTTGCTTGCCATCCTGGTACCACTAGCTGAGCTATATGATCTGTATTATCCTTCTTTACTCTAGTTTCTACTAAGCCAACTAACTTTATATTATCCTCTTTTATGTAGGTACACAACTCCTTTTGTTTGTATCTCTTGTTGGTACCCCTTATGTTCCACACCATCCAAGACATCAGGTATGTAGAGCTTGACCACCTGTGATAGGTGGTTTCAAGTTAGCCATCACTGCTAAACTTGTTTGTTGTTGTGGCCCCTGTTTCACAGGAGATAGTATTTCTTTAGCATAAGTCAATAGAACCCCATTGATCTCAACTGTGATCTTCCAATTTTCTAGTTGCCTTTGTGAGTCTTCCTCTGTTAGCTGTTGATCCTCTGTGCTCATTGCTAGCTTAGAAGTACACTCTATTCCTTGCTTGATTCTTCCACCTGTTTTTGACTTTCCTCAGCAGTAGAAGCCACTGCTGTTTGTTTAGTTTTCCATATCTGCTTCACTGGTGGTGGTCTCCTTTTCCTGGGCTGTTGATCTTGTTTAACGCCCTATTTTGGAATTTTCCTACAGTCATGCCAGTTTTTAGACATCTTTCACAGAACTATGACTTCCAATCATATCAACAGCCTGCTCAAATATAGCACCTGAATCATACCGGTACCTTGCTTGGTTATATTTACTTCAATAAGTATTCTCGCAAAGGAAATTCTTTATTGTTTGGCAGTGCACTCATCTGCAAACATTGGAATTCCTGTGGTACTTGCAATTTTACTCAATGAGTTACCACTCCAGCAGTTCATAGGCAGCTTAGGAAACCTTACCCATAAAGGTATATCTGTCAAAAAATCTGAGCCAAAATCAAAGTGTGGAGACCAGTGTTTCATTATCATAGGCCTATTATTCACTGTGTATGGACCAACACACATGATTTCTTTCATATCAGCCATGCTATGAAACCTGACTATGTAATACCCTTCATCATGATAATATAGTTCTAGCATAGATACAGTGTTCCACATCTGATTTATGTATCGCTTCATGTAATTGTATCCAGGTTTTTCACCAAGTACATACACTATAAGGGCACATTTCCATTTCAAGTTTTCCTTCTCAATTTATGTTTTCTCAAGCTTAGCCACTTGGTTCCCTTCTACAATTTCAGGAGTTATGTAGCTCAAAGTCATACCGTTAGCAGCAGATCTGTTACCTGTTAGTATTCCGGCCCAAGTAGACTCCTTAGGCACCTCCATAGATGGCTCTTGTTCCTTGTTCTTCAATGGAACAGTAGCAATAGCTGTTGCAGGTAAAGGAACTTGAAATACACTTTCCTGCTCCTTGCTCTTCAATGGAACAGTAACTTCGCGAACAGAGGAGGGTGTGACACTTCCTCTTAGGTCGACATGCATGGGAGTTGGGCTTTGATTTGCCTTCTTCTGCTATTGACTAGCTGATCCTGAAGATTCTCCTTGAGAGATCTGTGCAAAATTGACAGATCCAGCTTGCATCTTTGAAGCTCCACAAATGGACTCCATAACCATTGCTGAGTTCCTTCCTATGGAGTTTAGCTTTGGGATTCTGTTATCTACTTGGATTTGTTACTTCTCGGGTCTTCCTCGAGCCTTCTTTCCAGCCATAGCTAGGTTCGGCGCACATTAGCTTAACATATGCCGAGAGGGTTGGAGAAGAAGCCTATCTCTCTCTTTTTCACATAAGTTGTTTAATTTCAAATAGCTTAGGGGCAAAATCTGACAACGATGGCATTTTGTACTTATTTGATTAACGACAAGAAAATTTTTGTGTCACAAGAACAACAACAGTAACATACCCAATATATTTTCACATGTTGGGTCTGAGGATTGTGTCAGAAAAACGAAGGACAAATTTATTCTTTTTGAATAGTTTAAGAGCAAACATGGACCATTTACCTAAAAAAGATTATGGCAAAATAAATTCTTTTTTGCCTATTTAGATAGTGATAGTCACAAGTAAATCTAAGAGTTAAACTTTATGAGTTTGAGTTTGATATTCTACCACGGCCATCAAATTTATTGGATTTAAATTTATTATCCGTACTTGTTTAATAATTTTGAATACATACCCAAAATCTAAATTGAAACTACTGGACTAAAATAAAGATGTAACGTTTATTCTAGATATATATATATATATATATATATATATATATATATATATATATAATGTATCTTGGTGTGTTGGTTATGTGATTGATTTTACTTAAAGAGGTCAAAAGTTCAAACCTCAACTAGTATATTTTTCTTTTACAACACTTAAAAAGTCTGATAATCAAATTTATATTTCGGTTTTATAAATTTCACAACACTTAAAAAAAATTCTACGGTACGCTGAGAAACGGAAAGGTTTTCTAGAAAGGGGACATGCGTTTTGCTTTTTGATATTAAAAATTGTTAAAGTGAAATTTAATCAGTACTTTATTCAGGTAGTGATTAGCCAGGCTCCTTGAAACAAGGCGAGTAGTGATTAGCTCACCTCGGGGGACATTTTTTAAATTATTTTCTCACTGTTTTATGGGTAATTGAGAGCTTTATTTCTGTTTATTTAGTTGGGAGGTTTTTTTTTAATACTACTATAGATAATCTTATTAAGGAATCACGTCAACCTTCTTGATTGTGTAACCCTAATTAAATTATGGCCGAACGATATGTCAACTTTTGGTTCTTCCACTTCACAATCACTCATCAAGTTTTTGAATCTAACATTTTTGTCAAAGTCTTAAAATTATTAATACGTACTTAAGATCTTTAAGATCGTTTGGTACGATAGATAATCAAAAATAATCTTGGTATAAATATTTAGTACTGTCTTATCCCTTGTTTGGTTACTGATCCTGAAATACCTTATTCAAGGATTAAAAATAGAACCGGAATAACTTATACCTGCCAGAGGGTGGAATAATAATCGCAGGAAAAGTTATCCCAGAATAAACAGTAAAATTGACAAACAATCAATAAGAAATAATATGAGGATAACTAATTTCAGCATAACTAATCCCAACATAACTAGTCACATCATAACTTGTCTTCAAACCAAACGACAAGGCCGGCTGGAACCTAAGGCCACTAAAGCAACGACCTTAGGCCGCCAAAATACTTAGAACCCCAAAATCTATAAATAATATTTATAATATTTAATAATTATACACTATTGATAGAATTTTTAATTTTTTGGTTAAAATAGTTATAGCTAAA